ACTCACGAAAGCTTATGCCCAAATAAATCTGTTAGTCTTTAAGGTGCCACCAGACTCCTTGTTGTTTTTGTAGATACAGACTAACACGGCTACCCCCTGATACTTAAAGGCCCTGGGGCTCCCAACCACAGCCAGTGCCCCAGGGCCTTTAAATCGTGAGAGTCCCCGCCTCTTCCGGTTGAGGCCACGCCCCACTCAGGACTCCGGCCGTACCAGTAAGTCCTGTAAGTTACTTTCACCCCTGACATGTCACATAACTCTCTTCATCATACAGTGATGATAAGCTGTAGGAGACTGATCATAGTCAGAAGGGATACGTATGCTTTAGACATCTCAGGAAGGAGGGCTGGAACGCGAGGCCTACAGGCTGAGGCCTGTAAGATTTTGGCTTAGCAGACTAGGCCATAGGCTTAAGAAATGCTGGACATAAGTAAGTGACCAAAGAATGACCCTGTGCTACAAGATTAAGGAAAAGATGTACCAATGGGTGATACTGCGAAAAATTAACCGTCAGAGTAACTTTGACTACGAGGTACTGGGCATTACATGTTTCTAACACATGAACATACACAGAGTGGTCGGTGTATCAGAATCACAAGATAACGAGGGCTCCCAAATTGGGTACAATGTGTTCCCTAGGGGAAAACTCCAACCGGAACCATCCCTCTACTGCTGGTCGATTGGCAAGGCAGCCGTCAGACCCTAGGGATACCGTTAAGGGCGTGAGTATGGCTATATTTGTAACTTGTGCATAGGTCTCTATAGGATTTCTATATGCTAATGGGTATAACTGTAACTTTAATAACACTTGTATAACAGATGAGACCTTGTACGTGTGAATGACTGTGGGGTCACTACCCTTGGTCTTTGTGTGTTCCTAGACTTTCCGTGTGAAGCACACAGCAGAGGCGACTTTCACTCTGTTGAGCTTGAAACTGTAGCTACTGTAGAGCCGAACTCGCGGTGGTGTAATACCACTTTACTAAATTCACTTTAAATCAAATCAAAGGCTACACCTGGGAGGTTCTTAAAACACCCATTTTCCGAAGCTTTTGTTGGCTACACGCAGCACATCATGCTGCCACTGGCTTGGCGTCCGCTCTCACACCACCCCAGGGCAGGCCCAGGCCAGCCCCAAGCTAGTGCCTTCATGTAGCTTCCCTGCTTCAGGCAGACACACGACTTTGCTGATCTCACACCACCGGCCTCGGGGAAGACAAAGGGGAGACCCCAGATCCCCTGGAGCAGCTGCTGATTCTGCCAAGGGCTGATTCTGGCTGGACTTGCACCCGTGTACTCCAAGGTACAGTCGGTCACTGTTCCCCTGTCACAGAAGCCACAGGCCTGGCACGCTGGGACGGCTCTGTATGAAGCCAGCCAGGGCTCCGGGCAGCGCAACTCCCCGCAGGGCAGCTGTCACCAGGGCAAGGAGCCTGCTCAGCTCCAGCCTCCCTGGGTCCGACCTCGGAGCATCCAGCCCCCTGGTCACCCCGTGAGCTCCCCGCAGCGAGTCCCCCTGGACAGGGCCCTGGGGCAGCCGGAGGGGCCCTGCCCCCCACTCCGCCCCCAGCCGGGACTCCCAGCCAGCGTGTGACACAGGCAGGTTATCAGCCCTTGGGAACCCAGCCTAGAACAGGGCTTGTTAGCACCGGGAGCAGGACTTCCAGCAAAGTCAATCCTGGGGGGACCCCAGGCCAGATGCCCTGGGCTCCCCCCTCTTAGTCCCTGTGGTGGGGCAGCTGCCCCCACACAGGTAAGAGGAGGTTAAAGGAGCCCTTAGAGAGGCTGTGCAGAGCCCCGACCAATGGGAAGAGGGTTACTGAGACAGCCAATAAGGAGACAGCTTGTTAGGGCAGCCAATCAGGGCTGGGCAGGGCCCTATAAAAAGGGCTGCTCCGCAGCAGAGCAGAGGCCAGGCTCTCCCTGGAGGGCCAGGGAGGAGGATGGGCTGCGGGGAGACACGCTAGAGCAGATGGGGGCCCTGGTGTGGGTCCGGGAGGGGGCTGGCCCAGAGAAATAGGCAGCAGGTTGGCGGAGGGGTGGTAGGTGGGGGCCAGGCAGAGGGCCCCCCACTGGCCACTGAGGGGAGTGGCAGTATCCAGACTGCAGCCGGCTATGGAGGCGAGGGACGGGACTGAGGCCTGCCGGCCCCCCGGAAGGGGGGTGAGAATGGAGTGGGGCACGGCCAGAGGGCCATGCCCAGAAGAGGATGCCAAGGTCCGGGGAGCAATGCAGGTCCAAGAGAGGAAGTGACGGCGGCGAGAGGCCACCTGCGCAGGGGGCTAATTCCCAGAACAGCCAGCAGGAGGCGCTGTGGTGCTGAGTCACGCCCGGTTATGGTCCCAAACAGCCAACTGCCCAGCTTCCAGCGACCCGACCTGGGACACACCTGTTGTCCCTCCTCCTGGTCTTCGTCTCGCTTCCCGGGCAAAGTGTCACCTGTCGCATCCCCCTCCTGGGTCTCCGGTTATGAAGGGCACTGTCCATCACTTATGTACAGGCAGCTGGAGCCACCTCACCTGCCCCCAAGGGTCTCAGCAAAAGTCACCCACCCCTATCCCTCCATCGAGGTATTGGGGCAATACACGGGGAAACCGAGGCACACACAGTATTCATGCAAAACAGTAACTCACATAGGCTCAGTCATGTCCAACAGAATAAGGAGGAAAAACCCACTTTGTCACAGGGGACCCAGCTCCCTGGACCCTAGGGGAGTCACCCCCAGGAGGAAAGAGGAGGAATTTGGCTTCAGTATGTGGGAAACATTGACCCCAGGAGCCCCCGTCTTTCCCTGGGGGGTCTCCTCCTCCAGCGTCCCATCCTGCTCTGTCAGGGCTGCCCTTTGGGCAGAGGTGAAGCTGCTCCCACCTGCCCTGTCCCGGCGGGTGGGGGCACCATGGTCCCTGCAGAGGAAACCCAGGTTGGAGCCTCTGCTAACCGGGCTCTTATCCCAACTTTCTCCGGTTGCAGCTGCTCCGAGGACCAGGACCTAGGCCCCGTGTGGCCCGGGGGTGGTGGTACCCTTTAGTGCTGTGTGGAGAGACCCCGCTAGCACCACATGGGCAAAGTGGTGACCTCTACAGATACCACACTCAGAAGGGGGGGATCTGGGAGCTGCCCGGGGTGAGGGGAGTGACAGTCGCAGCCTGTTTGAAAGCAGGGGAGAAGGTGGCTACACCTGGCCCCTTACCCAGGGCAGCAAGGTGGGGCCTGGATACCCTGTCACTGCCCTAAGCCTCCCACCGTGGTACTTCGATTGCGAGCGTGTTGGGGGGGGGGACTTTGGTGTGCAGCGTCCAGCACCCCCGCGCCGGGGCTCGGGCACTGCCGCAGCACAATTACGGGAGGTGGGGGTTTAACATCACTGTGATTTGTGCTTTGGCGATCCCCCATGCCACACGAGCACCAGCTGGATTCTGTGGTCTGTGCCATGCCCCGATCCAATGGGCCCTTCATCTCTGGCGAGGCCTGGGCTGGTCAAAACTTTCTGGGCTTGGCAAAAGCCTCAGGCTTTGGGACCAGAACCCGAGCGCTCTGTGAGAAACATGGTTGGAAGATTTCCCCGAGAACTGACTGTTGGTTTCCATCCAGCACCGCGAAAGGGGGCAGACAGTCAGAACAGAGCCCTGCACCAGGCCTCCCGGCCTTCCCTCGGGGAGGAGGTTTGGGTCCTGTCCAGCCCCCTGACCTCCCGCCTGGCCTGCCTGTTTCTCCCTTTCCTATCCCAGCCGATCAGCACAGGGCCCGGAGCCACAGTGGAGGCAGGAGGAAACTCCATGGTCGCTGCCACCACAGCCATTTGGAACTGCTGGGGAGCGGGACCATGCCCCTGGCCTTCACCCCCTGTCTGTGCCACATTAACCCTCTCCGGGCAGGGAGCCAGCGCCCCAGCCCACACAGGACACGAGACAGCCAGGTCTCAGCCTGGAGCTCCCCTCATGTTCCCGCTCCCTGTGGGCACTGACTGGGCCCTCACAGAGGGGACACAGACCCACAATGAAAAAGAACGATACAGTCTCTCTCTCTCTCTCCCCCCCCCCCCCCCAGTGGCCAGCTAGATTGATCATGGGTAGGGGGGAGCCAGGTTCTTCCGTCGGTCGCGATATGATGCTCCGGGGAAGTCTTGGCAGGACGAACCCAAAGCCCCTCAGCTCTCACCTATCTTTTATAGCAACAAATCCCCCTGTAGCCTATGAACTCTGCTGGGTCATGCTTGAATCACCAACGAGTTGTTTTCGCAGTTTCTCTTTCATCACTAGCATGTTTTCACAACTATCCTCCATTTCCTGATCTCGTGTCTTGTTCTTCATGTAGGGCGGACGCCTTTGCACTTGAGGGTCATTAATTTGCACTCTCGTCCAGCCATCAGGGTCTCAGGATGATGACACTGGCATCTTGTTTCTTCACTCCCCCTTTTGTAATTTACTGGCAGTTTTTCTCATATCTATTTACATTCCGCACACACTCATTCACACACAGAACTGTACAGTAATTTCAGAAACTAACTCCTAACAGGACAGAACAATTCTATCCAGGCAGAGCAGCACACGCTCCAATATTACTAATGCAGCATGGAACATTAATGTATAAACTTGCATTAAAACAATTTTAACCAGTAACCTTCTCATAAAGGGCAAAGCAATTTCATCCCCAAATCAATGTTACCATACAGGAGCCAGGATGGGGGGTCCCTGGGTGCAGTGCGGGTCTCCCCCTGGGCTGTCCCCCCATCCCCTATGCTAACGCCCAGGGTGATCCCTGCAGAACAGCTCGTAAGCCGGTCGGTCTGTCTGTCTGTGCAGGGGGCGCCCTGGTGGTAACTGTCCCCGCGTCCCCGGTGTGGGCCCGGCCAGGCTCTGACGTGCCCCTAGGCTGTCGCATCTCCGTGGTCCCAGAGCCCGTGGAGCTGAAGCACCTGAGTGTGAAATGGTGGCGTAAGGTCAGCGTGGTGACCGGCTTTGAGCACGAGGCGCTGGCCAGCAGGGCCAGGCCAGCCTGTCCCCAGAGGACATGGGTGCAGGAGGAAGAGGCCGGGGCGTACTCCGGCTCTGTCAACTACCTCTGGGACTACCAGTCCGAGGGCATGGAGCTGTGTGGGGAAGGTGAGGGGGTGGGAGAGACACCCCCCAGGGAGGTGGGGGGAGCAGGGGTTCTCCGGTTGGGGGCTGGTTTGAGGAGGGGGCTACTGATTGCCAGCCTCACCCCCGCGGTGACACTTCCCTGGGCACCCGGGGCTGGGAGCCACCTCGCTGCCCCCTGCCCCTATCATGAGGATGCCACAGCTCAGCTCCCCCGCCCGACAGGCGCCTGCAGGCCTGGCCAGACTCCGCTGTCCCGCTGCAGGTCAGCGAGCGGAGCACACCAGCCCCTGAGCCCACCACTGTCCCCCAGAGGCTCCAGCTCCTCTTCCACTCAGACTCCCCAGGCCCCCCGTCCCGTCCCACAGGACCCTCCCAGGGTCAGCGCTTCACTCGGCCCACAGCGCTGAGCAGGGCTGCAGTGAGAACCAGCATCGGTTTCTCTAACGAGACCAGAGAGCCGTGCCGCAGCGAGTGAACGGAACGATCGGAAGGCGGCGGGTCCGTCGCAAACCAAATCACAACCCGCGCTCCGGGGCCCGGCTGAGTCAGCCACATGCAGGCCTGGCTGCTGGAGCCTAGCTCGTCTGCCTGGTGTTTTCAGCCCAGCCCGGCTGCGATCACCCAGTTGTGAGACAGGCCATTAGGGTTACCATATTTAACAAATAAAAAAAGAGGACCCTCCATGGGGCCCTGGCCCCGCCCATTTCCCCACCCCTAGCCCCGCCCCAACTCCGCCCCTTCCCCGCCCTAACTCCGTCCCCCTCCTCCCTCCCACTCCCAGCCAGGGGGAAAGGGCTGCCCGAGCGCTACCGGCCTCACGGTTTGCCAGGCAGCCCCCAGACCCCTGCGCCCCCGGCCGGCGCTTCCCCAGCGCAGCTGGAGCCCAGGAGGGAAGCGCCCAG